GCGAACACCTTTAATCCCAGCACTCGGGAGGCAGAGGCAGGCAGATCTCTATGAGTTCGAGGCCAGCTGGACTTCAGGGCAAGTGCCAGGAAAGGCTCCCAAGCTACACAGAGAAACCCTGTTTTGAAAAACAAAAAAAACAAAAAAAACAAAAAAAAAAAAAAAAAGTATACTGAGAAGGGCTGGAGAAATGGCTCAGAGGTTAAGAGCACTGACTGTTCTTCCAGAGGTCCTGAGTTCAATTCCCAGCAACCACATGTTGGCTCACAACCATCCATTATGAGATCTTGTGCCCTCTTCTGCTGTGCAGATATACATGGAAGCAGAATGTTGTATACATAACTTTGTATAAATAAATAAAATCTTTTAAAAAAAAAAGAAAAAAAGTATATTGAGAAGTCACTCATCATGCTGAAAGCCAGTGGTATTCAGAACTGTCCCCTCACCCAGAGCTTCCACACTGAATATAGTGTCTATTTCTACTCAATGGCTTCCTTTAGCGTATATCCTTCTCATAAAGGGACTGAGAGAACATAAATATCAATTTCTCAAGAAAACAGCTTTTGATGGCAGACTTTTCATCTATTCATCTCTCTCCCTCAATCATGCCACTGTCTGAAATATCCCCATATTTCACTGTTGATGACTTAATTTTGTTCAGTGGAATAACTAGAAAGTTGGGGCTTTCCAACATGTTATAGAAACAATACATTGCAAAACTGAATAAGATGCAGAATGGATAGCTATTTTTTTTTCAGCTCTCTATCCAGCAATGCAGTGCTCTTTAGAAAATATGAAGAGAGGAAAATTTGGCAGACAGGTTTATGTCTCTTGCTGCCTCTCCATTACCTTTTTATTTCCCCTTTGCAAACCTGGGTCACATAAGTAATTAATTTTCAATAAGCTGGATAAATGGTCTTTGCTATTACTTTGCTCTAACGGGTTGAGAGGATGGCAGCAATGTGAGAATTCTAGGCAAATTTACTTAGTAAGGCCTTGACATTCCTCCTAAGACTTCATAAGACTCTTCTATTGAATTGTTGGTTCATAGAGGCCAGCCATGATCATGGGACACCTAACCTGCTTTTTCGTGGATTCTTTGTTTTTGTAGTTCCAAGCTTTGTGTAAATTGGTCTCCACATCCATGCTCGCATGCAGAAGGCCAGAGCAAGACATTGGGTATCTCTGTTGCTTTTAGCTTTGTTTCCTTGAGACATGGTCTCTCACCTGACCCTGAAAC